GATTTTTGTTTTTTTGCGGTATGCGGGCCTCTCACTGTTGTGGCCTCTCCCGTTGCAGAGCACAGGCTCCGGACGTGCAGGCTCAGCGGCCATGGCTCACGGGCCCAGCCGCTCCGCGGCATGTGGGATCCTCCCGGACCGGGGCACGAACCCGTGTCCCTTGCATCGGCAGGCGGACTCTCAACCACTGCGCCACCAGGGAAGCCCAAGTCTCCTGGATTTTTGTCTTAAATTCTTAGACTCTCATGGGCACCCCACCACCTCAGAATAGAAAGGATTTCCTGCGGAGCAGGTGAGAAAGTCATGGGAATCTTCTGCGAGTAAGAGGGTCCTGGGAATGCCAAAGCCCTCTCACCACCAACTGTGTTACTGTTTGAAGGTAGTAGTGATTTGTTTCCTTTTCCTCAACCTCCCAACCATGGACCCCAACAGGGGCAATTATAAATATGCTTCAAGTAGTGGATGCTCATGAAACGTGGGATGCAGTGCATGTCCTGAACACTGGGGTTATAAGATCCCCCAAAGCACACCCTTGGCCCCAGATTCCGGCTCCACTACTCACTGGCTGTGTGTCTTCAGCAAATTCCTAGTCTCTCTGAACCCTAGTTTCCCCGTCTATAAAATGGGATGATAATCATACTGCCTTAATAAGAGTTTCTGAGAATTAAAGCTCCAAGCACAGTGCCTGGCCCACAGCTGATTTAAGATTTCTGATTTAAAATTTCTGAAGAAATTTAAAGATTTCTGAAAATCCTTTCTATTCTGAGGTGGTGGGTGCCCATGAGAGCCTTGCTCTTCCTAAGAATTTAAGAAGACAAAAATCCAGGAGACTTAAGGGCACTTTTGTTTTACACTCAGAAAATGAGTCAACTGGGGCCTCGCCAAGGTGGGGAAAGGAGATGCAGATAGGCAAGCGGGCTGTGAGTTATCGCTTCAGAAATCTTAACCTTACCTCAGTAAAGGTTAGTGTCCCTTGCCCCGGTGGCCTCTTAATGTGTCCCTTCCTTATTTCTCCTCCCCAGGCCCACTTACCCTCCACAGCACAGGTTTCACTGTCAAGCCACTCCACGTCACATGGGCAGTGACTCCCTTGGCCTAGGTATCCCTGACTGTGGTCTACTGTGGCGGAGATCTCACCCACTGCATTTTAAGGCCCCGTGGACTGGGATCACACCTCATTCAAATTACATGCCCTCACCCAGTGTCTGGGCCCGATGCGCGGGCAGATATGGGACAAATCACTACACGATGTGTCATCTCCTCCCTCCTTAAAAGGAAACTCCACCCCTGAAACCACAAGCCTGTTTCTAGTGCTTTAGAATGCCCTGCAGCCCCAGGTTCTCCTCCTCCGCTAGGGCCTCTGGGCGGGCCCGCCCCTTCCCTGTGGGTCCAGCGGGTGTGACCCAGCAGGGCTCTGCTGCTGCCCCTGCTGGCGCCAGCCCTCCCTCCACATTCCCACTCTCCCTGCTGATCACAGCACCGGAGGCTGCTCGGCCCAGCACTCCCTCTAATGGCTAACGCTTTTGTGGAAGGTTCTGAGCCCGGGTTAAAAGACAAAAAGCTAGGCTGTCCCCCACAGCTTCTCTAGTTCTGGTGTTGGTTCCTCCAGTTGTGATGTTCTTGCTGTTCTTTCCTTGGATCCCGCCTTTGTTTTTGTTCCAATGCCTCCTTTTTCAAGCTCCAAGAGAAAGCCTCTCGGGGAATTTGTGACCTCGCCCAATTTCCAACATTCCAGATTCAGTCATTTCCCCCTTTCTTCTCAGACTTTAAATCACTGTTCTCTCCTGGTGTTCATCACAACTATGAGGCCAGAGAAAACGGTGAGACCGTAAAAGCTTATCAAAAACAAATTCTGCTCTTTTAAAAAAGCATTTTCCGAAACAGCTTCCAGGAATGAAAAGTGGGGTTAAATTTTGCATGGATTGCACGAGTAGGCGGCTAATAACCCGTAAAATCTTACACAGAAGCAGGGAAACTCAAAACTAAGAGATGGTCCCTGCAAGCCAGCCCATCCTGCGACCCCCTCCCCCGCTCTGCGGCAGGAACTCCGACTCCGGTGGCTGGAGCTCTGCTGCAGTGGCACTACCCACGCATACTCAACTAACAGACTCAGACCACGCCAGCCATGCCACGAGGTGTGTTTTATTTTCATTAATCATACAAATAATTTTCTATAATATCCCAGGGCAAACCGGAGAATTTGGCAGTCCGATTGGAGGGTCCCTTCAGAGACCCACAGGCCGGTGGCATCGGCACGGAGTGCCCGGGTTCACAGTGCAGCTTGTCGCTCGTGTCCATCTTGCAGGTGGCTCTTCCTCCACATCACGACTAGGGTCTCCAAGATGATGGAGGTGGAGAATACTCCAGGTTCTTAGGAAATTTCACTTCGCTTGCTTCTCCTGCTCAATGGCTGTGGAGGGCAGGAAGCGGGCACTGGGGGATGGGAACCTCTTGCAACCCGCCAACCGAGGCGCTTACAAACCTGGGCTGGGCGAGGCACCCACGAGGTCTGGGGATTAAGAAAGAGGCTTGGGGTTGGGGACAGGCGCCTTGTGCAACAGAAAGGGGGGCTGGGGCTGCCCGACGGGAGGAATCGGCCGGATGGGGTGCGGGGCTCGGTTTAGGCGAAGGGCGGGGTGGGGACTGGGCTGGGAGCTCGAGGACCCGGAGGCGGGGGCGGACTCACTCTCTTTGGTCGGCAGGGTGTTCTTCTCCTGCGTCTCCGTCTTCTTCAGCTTGGCCTTATCGAAGCTGGCGATTTCCCCCATGTCCGGCTTGTCTGCCATTTTCTTAAGACAAACCTAGCGGGCAAACCAAGGCGGTTGGCCCGGAGCCGGGGCCAGCAGCCCCCTCCGCGCTCCCCGCCGCCGCCCCTCGACGTGGCACTCCGGCCGGGGCGTTCCCGGCAGCCCGGAGGCCAAGGATCTGGGCGCGTCCCGCACCCCATCCACAGCCCTAGGGCGTGGCTGGCCGGCCCGGGCGTCCCGTCGGGGAAGGGCGGCTCCGACCCCACCCAGATGGGGCCTCCGCCCCAGCGCGCCGCTCACCGAAAAGTTCCGCTCCAAGCCCGCGGTTCCGGTGCTCTGACTCGCGTCGCTGCAGCAAGAGACAAAAGAGCGGCGCCCGCCCCTCGCCTTATATATGCCGCGCCCCGCCCCGCCCCTCGCCCGCCGCAGCGGGGGCGGCACCGGCGGCTGGGGGGGGCGGGGCCAGGGCGGGCGGCTAGCTTTCCCGCCGTGCCCTCCGTCTGGCTACCCGCCGGGCTGGGCGCGGCACTTCCCGCGCGCGGGGCCCCTGCGCCCAGTGCCCAAAGCTCTCCGGGTCCCCAGCGTGGAGGTTGCAGGCGCGGCCAGGGTGGGCGCCAGGCCCTCAGTTTTATAGGGTGCTGCACTCCCCTTTCCGGGAGTCTGCTCCTCACCCGCAGGAGGGGCGTGGGGGGCCAGCGGGGGAGGGGTGTATGGTTGGGTGTGGGTGTGGGTGTGTAGCGTGTCGTTGTGAGTATGGGTGTTCTGGCGTGCTCGCGCGCTTTGCAGCCGTCCCCGCTCGCAGGAGACACCCCACCCCTGGGCAGTCCCTGCGTCTTTGGCTTTTAGCATACCAGAAACCCCCCACCCCCACCCCCTTTTCCTCTCCTCGGGGAGGTGAACCCCTGCGGGGTCTCACACTAAAAGAATTCGAGCCAAAGAGATGAAAAGACCGGGGTGGGGGTGAGGGTTGCAGATAGGTTTCCACTGCTCCTTGCTCAGGTTGGGGGCCGGTTGTCTCCCTTCCCTGAGCTGGGCAGCTCCTGCAGGACCCGTGGCTGGTGCTCCCTTAGATGTTTGATGCAAGCATGATTTGAAAGGCGGTGGTGAGAGCAGGCCGTCCCCAGGGCCTTGCGGTGTTCTTTCTCTCACAGGGCTCCTGGGGATGCTGTGTCCCCAGGTTCCATTTTCCTCCTTGAGTTAACCTTGAAGGTGTCCCTACAAAGGTTCTTGTTTCCCTTTTTAACCCATTATGGGAGTGGTATACTGCAACTATTCAAATCTTTCTTAGAAAAGTTGTATCTTCATCCTGTGCAACATCTTTAGTTCCACAAATGAACAACCCAGGAGGTGAAGCTGGTCATTGTTTTATTTGTCCTGAAGTTTCCAAATGTCAAGGAGTATTACCAAACACTTTTGAAGTGGCATTTGATGGAAACATCCTAAGTTCTGTTCCATCCCTTCCTGATTTTAACTGCTTTTTTTCACATTCCCTCAGTGCGTTTGGAACAGAAGGAAATAAATTTGGGCTCATGAATTTGATATACCAAACTCCTTGTGTGACCTTGGGCAAGTCTTTCCTTGTACCTCTTTATGTGTAAAAGAGTTTTGGCATAAAACTTAGATGAAGAGCAGGCATCAAGTGGAAGCTTAACATGGCAGCCCCATGAGAATGGCACACACACTTCATTAGTGTATCAGCCAACTATTGCCACAGTATGCTGTGTAACAAACTATCACAAAACTCAGTAGCTTAAAGCAGTAATCACTTATTCTCACTCACTCGCCTGCAGGCAGGAGCTGCTGGGTTGAGCTAGCTGAGCTAGCTAGGCTCACTGGATCTAGGTCTGCTCCACAGCTGTCTCATGCTCTGGCCCAGGATCTAGCTGGAGCTTGTTCTTCTCAAGGTGATAGGAAAACAGCAAGACGGCTGTTGCAAAAGAGAGTGCAGAAGTGTTGAAGTGTGTGTAAAAGCATGTCATGTCACCTCTTGTCTGTTAACATCCCATAGGCCAAACCCACCCTCAATGGAATGGAGAAGTATTATATTCCACCCATGGTGGGAGAGGGAGGTGAATGAACATTTCTTAAATAAAAATCCAACTTCACAGTCAGGCAAACAACCATAACAAACAACCTCCAAAGGAGGTTTATTCTCCATTCACGCAGCAACATTTTATGCTGTTTCTGTTCAGGCAGCTTTCCTCCATGTAGTGACTCATGTACCTTCTCTCTCATCTCTCTGCCCTCCTCTAGGTCCTGGATTTTTACTCCATCTAGCCAGTGGATGGGAAAAGAGAAGACAGAGGACTGCACTAGAGTTTTTATGGACCAGGTTGGAAGTAGCCTCCATGAGTTCTGCCCTCATCTCTGTGGCCTGACTCAGTCACATGATCTCACCTAACTGCAAGGGAGGCTGGGAAATGTAGTCAAGCTGTGTGCCCAGGAGTAAGAGCAGGGGTGGAGGGTCTTGGAGCTGTCTCTACCATACACGATTGAAGGATCTGCCAAACTTGAGCATGAAAATATCCAGACATCCAGAGACGTCGACTCTTTGGAGCGTCTCAATGGCACTGGATTCCTCTACAGATGCAATGCCAAGTGTTCTTTAGGTATTACCTTCCTGGGTCCCACCTATGGCCTGTGAAGTTGTCCTAATTTGGACCCTTGGTGAAGTCCAATTCCAACTTCCTTTTATTTGGGAAACAAGGGAATATTGTCTTCTCGATACAGTTGTAGACACGTTTCAAATATATCAAGCCTGCATGATTTCCAAACTAAGGAGCTCTAAGTAGACTTGCAGACATTCTTTATTCTCACTCAGTGCACTTCTGTGGCCCATCTCTAAGGAAGCAGGGATCCTTTCAGGCATTTGTTGCTTAAGAACAACAGTCAAACCTATTAGTCCCATTCAATCCTACGGGTGATGGTTTTAAAAGTCAGCATATTCTTTGACACTTGTCCCACTAATTCCTGAGTATAGACTGTCCTTCTTGACTTCCTTCTAGTGAATAAAATGTGGCAGAAATTATGCTTTTCGATTTATGAGCCACAGAGCTCTGCCTGACTCTCTCTCTGGGTGCCTCCACACTCTGAGAAAACCAAGCACCTCTAAGGAAAGGCCACTTGCAGGCATTCCAACCACAAGCCTCAGCTGAGGTCTGAGCCAGCATCAACCACTAAGCATGCAAGCACGTGAGGTAATGCCGAGTAGAGCAGACACAGGCTGTCCCAGGCCAAATTCCAGATTCATGAGCAAAATAAATGTTGCAGTTTTTGTAAGTCACTAAGTCTTGGGAATTTTTGTTACGTAGCAACACAACTCATTTGCCCATGAGACAGAAAAATCATAACTTAGGGGTGCCAGGGTCTTAGGTCTCATTTGGGGATTTTTCCCTAAATATCTTCTATAATACTCACACACGTACTCTTCAACAGAGGTTTATCAAATGCCCACGGGGCATCTGGCAGTATTCTGGATGTGGAAGATAGAAAGATGATGAGACTCTTAGTGACAAGTCTATGTAGTAACTGAATGACTCTGAGTCAGTCAACAAGCTCATGCTTGTGCCCTGTGTTTCCTTATGTCTTGGGGCGTCATTTGTCTGACAACACATCAGCCTGCTGCTTGGAACGGATTGTGTACTGTTCACAGATGGTGTAGAGAAAGGAGGACCGCTCAACTCCAATTACGTTTCCATCTTCATTGAGAAGGATGCACGGGAAATCGAAGAGCTAATAAGAGGGACCAAAGGGAGTCTTGATGACTGTCAATCTGGTGGGCGGGGGGTAGCCTTTGGAGATTTGCCATGGGACTCCAGCCCTCAGACCTGGCCAATTTGACGACTTTTTTTAGGGACTTGAATGGGGATGTAGATAGAATGCTGACTATATTAGGAAGGATGCAACACTGTAAATGCCAAAGCAAAGTGGATCCAGTGGAGAAATGGACAAAATATGATGAAATGAACCTGATCGGGACAGATGCAGAGCGTTCTCTGCCTGACCATTAACCCTGCAAGTACAGGGAGACGTAACAGGATTAACTCTCAAGTGGCAGTGAGATTTCTGGCTGTATGAATAAGCAGAAAGAGTTCAGTCCAGATTTCCTTTGAATGTTAGGAAGACATTTACTTCTGCTTTGTTTACTCCTTGATGAAATGCTCATGGGAGATGTTCTTCTTAGTCTAGATATTCACATTGTGTACCTTCTCGTTTCATTAAGAAAACTGCTTGAGCATCCTCTCCTCAGAGAACCCTCCTTGACCACCCCTGACAGTCTCTAAAGTTTTACCCTGTTTCATTTTTCTTCTTAGAATCTGATGAAAGAAATTTGTACATATTGAGGTATGGGGAAGTCATTCTGGTTTACACATGCGTTAACTTGAATTTGTGGCCTATCAGACGTACATTGTACATCTGTTTCAATTATTGAAGAAAAGGGCACATTGACCAGAAGTAAAGAATGCCAATGTTAAAAATAAAGATTAAATGCTTCCCTTCCTGGGGCGCCAATGCTAGTACTTCTTCAATGAAATGACTCCCTTCCCAGGTGCCAAGGCCATACTGACTCGCTGGGTGTGTTCTGATCTATTTTTTTTTTTCTGAAATCTTGAAGGAATGTATCCCTGACTTGTTTAATGTTCTTTGACAAGATATAAAACTGTGCTTAAAACTATGCTTCTCTGGAGTAGTTCCTCAGAGTTAACTGAGAGGCTGTCTTCTGGGCTATAGTCCTCAGTTTGACTCAGATAAAACTCTTTTCTATCCCTATTATAGATTGTTTATTGATTATTTCATCAACAAATCTATCTCTACCAAACATGTTATAAATTCATTTCTTTATTGTCTATCTCCCACACTAGGAAATGGGAGACCTCATTTGTCTCATTGACCACTGCATCACCAACGCCAAATGCAATGCCTGATATATAATAAGTGCTCAATCAATATTCTTTGAACAAATGCATAAAATTCTTACCCAAAATGGAATAAGCCACTCTGGGGGAGGTGATGAGTTCCCTATCCCTGGAGGCATTCAATGAGGAGTGGATAGCCAGGTATGTGGACTGTGATAGAGATGATTCAGACCTTGGGCTTCAGTAGGTTCACAAGTGAGCAAGACTGCTTCTCCCTAGATGACCTCCCGGGTCCTTCTTGTGCTGTTATTCCAGGTGTGAAACAGCCTTCTTTTGGTTGTCAGCTTTGCCAGCCTGAAAATAGCTGTGTGACTCTCACACCAAGGAGGTATGGGAAGGAAAGAGATCAAGATGCGACGTCTCTGTTTTCCATACCATTCAAACACCGTTACTCTTTGTAGGTCATGGAGTTTAAGGACTCCCCAAGATAAAATGGTGAAGAAAGTAAAGTGGGCCTTTGAGGTTCAGCCTCAGTAATGATTGTTCTGCTCTGGAGATGTGTGGATGAACCCCTAAATCAAGCCTGGCAGTTGCTGAGGTTGCCCCAGTGGCTAACAGTCCCAGTACAGTCTGGGTGAGGAAGTTATTGTTTCAGTTTTCACCTCTGGTGTTAGAGTAACAGTAATGAGGGCAACTAATATTTTTGTGCAGTTGTTGTGTTCCAGGCCCTGAGAGAAGAACTTTATGTATTATCTCACTTAAACTTCACCGAAACACTGTGAAATGGCACCATTTTGATCGACTCTGCTTTACGGGGTAGGCTCTGAGGCATCTTCAAGGTCACACAGCAGGTAAGCTGGCGTGGCTGGAACTTGAATCCACGTCTGATTCCAAACCCTGAGCTCTCAACCACGGCACCACCCTCACCTGGACCTTGCAGCAGGGTTTGTAACCTGCAACTTGGATCCAGATGGTTTATTTATTCTGTTTGGCCACATTAAACTCAACAAAAAACTTAAGGCAATACTCAAACATTGGAAGATTTCCAAGTGGAAGATCTAGCAACCCTGGGTCTATATTTTCTCATGGCAGCACCATGATTAGCAGCTGCCCCCTAGAAATGGGGTATGTCAACTTCACTTTACTGGATTCTCCAACACTCCCTAATATCTTTGCAGCATGGAGACCAGTGTCAATTGCCATGTATTATATATGTATGGGTGTTTTACTTATAATAGGTAAATATTTCTTGTTCCCAGGTCTCTATCTGTAGACATCAGCCTTCAAGATGGCCCCTAACGGTCCTGCCTCTTGTTCTCACTCGTGTCCAACCCTCCTCTATTGTACAAGGGTTTGTCTGTGTGACCAATGGCATATGGTAGAGGAGATAGTATGCCATTTCTGAGATTAAGTTATACAAGATGAATTTCTATTTGGTGCCTGACTTTCTCTCTCTTTCTCTTGTATCTCTCCTTCTAGGGGAAGCTAGCTGCCATGTTGGGAACAGTCCTAAGGAGATGCCCTCATGGTGAGTTTCTGGTCAACAGTCAGTGAGGAGCTGAAGATTGTCAACTAGTGAGCTTGGCAGTCGATCCTCTGGCTGCATTTGAGTCTTCAGAAGGCTGCAGCTGTGACGGACGATTCTACTGCAACCTCCTGGGAGGCCCTGAGCTAGAACCATCCAGCTCAGCCATTCCCAGAAACCGTGATATGATAAATGCTGTTTTATGTTGCTAAGATTTGGAGTAATTTGTTTCTCGGCAATAGAAAAATGAATTCACTATCAAAAGTGGGAGAACACGTGGATCAAAAGTGCCACGTAGTTAAAAAAAATTAAGAAAAAGCATATGTGTCTGTGGAAGTAAAGAATATTTATATCGTAATGAGACCTGCCACTGTAAGAACTATGACTGATACACGGGAAAAAGAGAGGTGATGACAACTGAATGAACCAGGCCTGTCTTGCTTCTTCATACCATCCGCCTGGCCCCTTCTAGGTCTCTGAGTCTTCCAAGCTTGCTATAAAGCAGTGCTTTTCAAACTGGTTTTGACCTTGATGACTGCCCTCCCATCTCCCAAGAAGTACATTTCACACGGTGACCCAGGACTCACACGAGCACATACAAATGAAACAAATGTTTCACCAGAACTGATACTCTTACTGTGAGTGACGCCCTCTTTCTCTGTTCTATTCCTTTTCGTTTAAAAAATCTTTTTGTTTTGAAATAATTATAGACTCACAGAAAGTTGCAAGGACAGTACACTGAAGTCCTCTGTGTACTCGAGATAGCAACATCTTACACAACTGTAAACTTGTATCAAACCCAGCAAACTGACATTGGTGCAATTTATAGACCTTTTCCAGATTTCACCAATTATATGCACTCTTCCCTGTGTGTATGTGTGTGGGTGTGTGTAGTTCTATGCAATTTTATCACGTGTATAGGTTTGTACAACCACCCCAGTCCAGATACAGACCTATTCTAACACTGTAAAGGGAATCTCTGGTGCTACTTACTCTTATAATCTCATCTACCAGCACACCACCCCCACCTATAACCCCTGGCAACCACTGATCTGTTCTCCATCTGCAAAATTTTGTCTTTTGAGGTTGGCTTTTTCCACTCATCGTGATGACCCTGAGCTCCACGCAAGTTGTTGAATGTACCAGTGGTTCGTTCATTTTTATGTCTTGAGTGGTATTGCCTGGTATGAATGTATCACCTATTGAAGGTCATTTTGACTGTTTCCTGTTTTTAGCTATTAAAAATAACGCAGCTATGAACATTTGTGTACATTTTTTGGTACGTGTGGACATAAATTTTCATTTCTCTGGGATAAATGTCCCGGGGAGTGACTGCTGGGTCATGTGGTAAATATATGCTTAGTTTTGTAGGAGACTTCCAAACAACTTTTCAGAGTGGCTGCATCATTTTACAGTCCCACTACCAATATATAAGAGATCAAGTTTCTCAGCATCCTCACCAGTATTTGGTATTGTCACTATTTTTAATTTTAGCTGTTCTAATAGGCATGGAATTATATCTCATCAGGGTTTTAATTTACATTTCCCTCGTGGCTCGTGGGGTTGAACTATCCCTTTACACTTTATCATTTCATTAAAATTACTAGTTGGGACCTGCCAATTTGATTTCATCACCCACTAGTTCGTCATGGCCAGCAGTTCAAACACTGCTGAAGTGGGATTATTCAATCATTGGCTTAGCATCTATTATTCAGAGATCATCCCTTTAACTTCTAACTTCTCCTTTCACTTCCACAACACATGCTTCTGCAATTTTATGTGTAATCCAGTTATCCTCTGGGGTCTCATGAAGACATCCTATTTGATGCTTTCCCATGGTTTCTCTGAATTTTCCGGAATATTCTGCTCTTCTGGTTACTTCCGGTCTCTCTGAATTTTTGGTCCACACTGATGCATCTCCAAACATGGACAGCCCTTGGCCTTGATTTCGTTTTTCGAAGCAACTATGACTATAAGGCTGGTGTGTGCAGCATTCCTTTTACCAAAGTTTTGTGGGTTAAGGGGAGGGGAAAAATCTATATTTTTTATGACACATCCTTGATCCTAAAAGCCCTCTGGGTGCCTTGGGAGATCCCCCACTCTGTGCTTTTCCTAGGTAGCCCCAAATTCCCACTTTCTCACTATGTCCTCTTTTCCATTTTCTGATTCCCTCCTTCTTCTCTCCATTCTTCCCTTTGAGAAATACCAACTCCCCTCTTTCTCTCCAGCAGAACAGTGTACTTGTTCTCTGCTACCTTGGTTTTTGCTGAAAGGAGATTTCTGGGCCTTTCTCTGTACCACAAGCAACTGATGGAGATATTCCTCTGAAGCTGGTTCCCTTCCTCAGTGGACTTTCAGTGTTAGCTGTTAAGATACTACTACTTGTGTCTTTTGACAGGATAGCCTGTTTTCTGTGTTTTCCTTTCATTTAAATGTTAAAGAATGATTTTTTTCCCCGAATGAATATCATCCCCCATCCCTGCTTGTATATATCTCAGAGGAAAGCCCCGAGGTCCTGGATTTTGCCTGCCCCTGATCTGTATGTGAAATCTGCTCTCTGCACCAGTACTTGCCAATGCGCTTCAGTCCTTTATTTTCTACTCCAGTTGACTCAGTCTGTTGGGGCTGCTGTAACAGAATATTATAGACTGAGTGGCTTATAGACAGCATAAATTTATCTCTCACTGTTCTGGAGGCTGGGAAGTCCAAGGTCAAGGCGCTGGCAGGTTCGATGTCTGGTCAGGACGTGCATCCTGTTTCATTGACAGCCGTCTTCTCACTGTCCTCACATAGCAGAAGGGGCAAGGCGGCTCTGCAGAGTCTTTTTTATAAGGCACTGATTCCATTCATGAGGACTCTACTCTCATGACCGAAGCACCTCCCAAAGTCCTCACCTCCTAATATCATCACCTTGGGGGTTAGGATTTCAGCATATGAGTTTCGGAGGGACACAAACATTCAGTCTATAGCACCAGTGCTCTTAGTTGATAAAATTCTTTGAAAAGTCATTCTGATACAAGATGCATCTACCTAAAAACAAAGGAGGTTGTTCCTAAGGTTGTGAAATTTCAACCTCTGTGGCATGGTATTAGCCAGTGAAGAGGTAGGGGGCATACCTGGGATTAGGAAATGAAGAATAAAAGGACTATAGAGGGCTTCCCTGGTGGCGCAGTGGTTGAGAGTCCGCCTGCCGATGCAGGGGACACGGGTTCGTGCTCCGGTCCGGGAAGATCCCACATGCTGCGGAGCGGCTAGGCCCGTGAGCCATGGCCGCTGAGCCTGTGCATCCGGAGCCTGTGCATCCGGAGCCTGTGCTCCGCAGCGGGAGAGGCCACAACAGTGAGAGGCCCGCGTACCGCAAAAAAACCCAAAAAACAAAAACAAACAAACAAAAGGACTATAGAAAAAATGAGGACATAGATTCTTTTATTTATTTTTTTTAAATCGATGTATAGTTGATTTACAGTGTTGTGTTAATTGGGACATGAATTCTTACTTCTTCATTTACTCCACCAAGATTTTTCTGAGCACCTATGCTATGTCCTGTGAGTGACGCAGAGATGAATAAGCTGTGGTTCTTGTCCTCGGGGATCATATAGTCTGGTGGAGGACACAGACCTGAAAAATCAACCTAAAATATCGGCTAAATGAAATAAGGGCAACGAGAGAGGAAAGACCACAGACATCACGGAAGAGGGATGAGCCTCCCTGTTGGGCTCTGTCAGATTTCCTAGAACCCATGAAAAATACATGACTGCTGTTTTAAGCCACTAAGCTTTTGGGCTGGATTTGTTACGGAGTAACTGGGACATACCGTGAAAAATCTCTCTCCCACCTCCAAGCCCCAGATCTCCCATTTCCTTCCCTGGAAGCCATCACTATTGTCAGTTTCTTGTGGAGATAAAAGCATATATGTACACATACGTATTCTTTTATCTTCACAAATGATAGTATATTGCTACACTCTCTGCACTTTACTTTTTTCCCTTACTCTGCCTTAGAGATTGTAGCATGCCAGTGCAAATACTGAACATTTAATTCTGAGAGTGAAATTTACATACAACTTCTATGTGTTTATCACTGTTCTAAGCACTTTACACATATTGACTCTGAGTCCTACGAGCAAAGTACTAGTTATTCCCCATTTACAGATGAAGAAACTGAGGCACAGGAAGGTTAAATAAATCCAGGTCACACAGCTAGTAAGTGCTAGAGCCAGGATCTGAATCCTAGCCATTTGCTTCCAAGTCCACTATTTTTAATTTTTCTTATTAAAGGCTGTATAAGATTCTATTATATGGATGAATCATACAGTAATTTATACACATTGATTTACATTTATATTGTTTCAGCGGTTTACTACTGCAAACTACTATCCCTAATGTTTACAGATCCCAGGGCAAGAGCATAAATGGAGACTTACATACCAAGTGTCTAAATATTTAAGTTATAAAGCAAACTAACATACTGTTAAATAAAATATATTTTATCCTCCTGCATCAGATTCAATTTCATGATGTAATTTTAAAAATGTGACGAGTGATGGTTTTTGTAGGAGTGAAAGTGGGCAAAATCTCACAGATAATTGAATTTGATAAGTCTTATGCAGGTCTGGGTGTTCTATTGATGGTCTGGGAATGTTTAAAAGAAGAATACAATTAAGACATACTAATAAAAACATTTCTAATGAATTATTAGAAATTTATTCCACAATTTTTTTCCTGCTCTCACTTAAGCATAATTAGTGACTGTGTGGTTAACAAGATTTTTACATAACTTGTGTTCTATAGATGGTAATGACCTAAACAACAATTAAAATGTAATTGTATTCAAAGTGTACAAAATTTAAACATATAGGCGATTTCCATTATTCAGGGTAGTTTTGTACTATAAAGTCGCCACCAATGCTGAATTAGTGAATATCAAACCCTTGCTCCAAGAAATAGAGTTAGGTTCCTGTAAGTCTATGGTCAGAACATTTTCATCAGCTGATCAACACATAAGCTATTTTTGTGTGTGTTTCTGTTGAAAGACAACTTATTTAGTATATATTGTTGATTCATTCACATTGAATGCACACAACCAACAGCATAAAATGCCTGGACAAAGCTTATGTAAAAATGCATTTTTCTCTGTAAGGAACATCACAGCTTTCTTACACTCAGGAACAGAAGTGCTGCACTTCAGCACTCTGGTCCGGCCATTTTAAACAGTGAAATCACCAACAAAAATGAGAAAAACGAGGTACTAAGTAGACTGGAAAAAAGGACACATTTATAGTATAAGAGCGGAACTAAGAAGGCAGAGTGTTGCCTTGTTTGGCTTCCGCTGGGAAGGTGTGTGTTGGGGGCTCAAATACTCCAGCACTCTGTGCATGTCTTCATATGACTACAAAATTGCTGTGAGCTCGATTTGGGGGTTAAAAATAAATTTTAGCAAGTAGGTAATTCTCAACTATGGTATCCATGAATAACGAGGATCCACTTTATTTTCATCAAAAAATGTGAATGCAATTAGGTAAAAAACAGAAAAATTAAATTTCATATATGTTTTAAACAGGATATTTTCTTCTAAAATAGTAACATTATCTAGTATTCTAAGGCAAAATACAAATAATTTTTAATAAATTTCAAAATTATAAATCAACATTTAAAAAATAAAAGTTAATTAAAATTTTTGTAGGTGTCATTGAATTCAATGAATAATTTTATAAAAACTAAACTATTTGTAGTTCTGGCATTCAGCATCCATCTCGTGGCCAATGGAAAGAACCTGTATTTTGCTCCATAAGTGTTATGTCCAGACCTACACATACACAAATTAAAGAATAATATGAGCCGTTTACTATTGCAAAATATTCCTTAGCTGCATATGCAACTGTTGGGAATACTGTGTTAAGTTGTGAGCGATTCCTGCAGCTGCAGGAATTCCTGTGCTAATTTTTGGAGGCACAGACTGGAACAGGAAAAGAAGCAAGAAAATGGGCACTTGGTACTCCTGGGAATCATCATTAAGCAAGAATCTATGAGAGAAAAAGTTTGAGTGACAGAAGAGCTTGGGTAAATGTCTCTATCACTCTAATCATCCCCAAACACAGAAGCACATCATTTTTGGTGCTGTCAGCAGCACAGCCCACAAAGCTCCCTGGCACTGAGGCGCGGTCACCCTTTGCTTCCGGGACACAGAGCAGAGGAAGCCTGTGCTCAAAGTTTGCATGGTGTTTGTGTGTGGAGGGGAGTCCACTA